TGAACGCTAAACGAACACTACACTAACGCTAAATGAACACGTTCGTGAACATATAAACGCGTTCACGAACATGTTCGTAAACAATAAATAAACGAACACTGACACCTTCAAAAATAAATAAACCAACATGGACACGATATTTTAAACAAACACAAATCAAACACAAACACTAGAAAATAAACACATGAACATAGTCTTATATTTTAAACAAACATGAACCAAACACTAGAAAATAAACACACGAACATAATCTTATTCGTTCAAACTCGATTCATTTACACCCCTATACGTAATCTATGAAGTAATGTGAATCACCTCATTCATATATATATATATATATATATATATATAGATTAAGCATAAATATATTTATTTTAAAGATAAATGTTAATATTTGAATTATATAAATTGGAACAATATATGAATCTTGATTAAATATATATACTTACTTTTTATATTTATATATAATATAACACATAATTATTTTATGTAATTAGGTTCTTAAATTTTTTAATTATATGTATTTAATTTTGATTCATATTTATAGTTTTAATATTATTTAGTTAAAAATAATATATATGATATCATTTGTTTCAACAAAAATATTTTATGTAATGTTGTATCAAATTAAAAAAAAAAAACTAACTATTTGATATGAATATTTGCTTATGGATATTATAATTAGAATATTATGTATTAAACAAGAGTTTGATTAAAATATTAATATCCGTTGAGATTAAAGTTTTATTTGATATCTACTTTTATGCCTATAAATATATAAGTTTTTTTTGAGAAAAAAATAAAAAATTATACAATTCATATTGAGATAACAATACAAATTTCTCTCCTTATTCTTATATCTTTTCTTATTATTATTGCTTCTTTCGTTTTATTCCATTACACATTATCATTACAACTCGCTCAAAAGCAATAACTTATTTGCATAGGAGATCATATTTCCAACCATGTCAATACACCACAATCTCATATAAGAATATTATATAGTACTTTTGATAGATTAATACATTATGTATCTTTTTCTAATTATCGTCTATATATTTATCTTAATTTGATTACATGTTAGATTTTGAATGAGATTGAATCATAAGTTATTGTAGATCAGAAGTTTACAAGTTTTAAATGAGATTGAATTATATGTTAATGTAAACCAGAAGCTTTCAAGTTTGTATGAATGAAATTGAATTACATGTTATAGTAAAGCAAAAGATTACAAGCTTAGAATGAGATTGAACCACAAATTATGGTGAACCCGAAGTTTATAAGTTTAAAATTTTTAATTAGTTGATATGATTGGTTAGACCATCCCAATCAATAATGATGTAAAAAATTATTGCGATGTGCATAAACATTAATTAAAAGGACTTGAAGTTCTTATGTTTGTTATTCTCAATGGAATTTAGAACTTCACTAGTTGAAAATGAGATTGAGTGTCTTATATATGATTGAAATATGGGCCCATTTATCCATAATATAAAAAGTTTTAATATGATTTCAATAGAAACATCTACAAGATAAATTACACATATGTAATCAAATTACATACATGCATGTTTCCTCATTGTCTTATATTACTCTATAAATTTAGATTTTTCACAAAATTACTTTAAAACTCACAAAATTCAACCTCAAATCTAAAACTCATGAAATCATAAACCATTATAGTCTATAATATCTACCATTCAATCAACATGAAACTAAGATACACATCTCGCTTCTTCCTTCACTCGCTATTGGGATTTGGAAGAAGATCCTTCATTATCGAAAATCAAAAAGAATTTGACACCATAATTTTTTCCATAAAAAAAATAAAATTTGGGATCATTTCATTATTTTTAGAAGAAAAATATCAAGTCATAATTTTGTTAAGTATTTAACGAGGGAGATTAAAATAAAAGTAAATAGAAAAATTAGTGAATAAATTAAAAAGTTTTAAACTTTAATGATCAAAGTAAAAAGTAAGAATAAGAATAAAGTTGAATGAGTTTAACTAAAAAAACTGGATAGAAAGTTTACCCAATCCCGCGCCGTCACCGGTCGCCGGTCATGTCAGAGACTTGTTGACTCGATGACTCAGTCAGCTTGTCAATACTTAGCCGACCCCAAGATCAATTTCAATATTTTACCTACTGATTTCATTTCATTTGATTCTCTTCCTAATTGGCGGTCAAACCTCGAATTCTTTTTCCCTAACAGTACCTAGCTTTGACCCGACTTAGTTTTACCTTTACCTTCCTCCTATAAATACCCAAACCTTAATCGCCAAATTTCGCCCGACTTCGCTTGCATTTGGTTCTTTCAATACTCCAAAATGATTTTATCTTGGAAAAATCGCAGAGCCCTCAACAAGAAGAACAACAACCATCGTCTGTGTGAAGATTTGGATGCGGAAATCAACATTCCGACTCACTTCCGATGCCCAATTTCTCTTGATTTGATGAAAGATCCCGTGACGATGTGTACTGGGATCACCTATGATCGAGAGAACATAGAGAGATGGATTGAAGCCGGCAACGAAACTTGCCCATTCACCAAACAGATATTGAACACCTTTGATCAGATCCCCAATCATATACTGCGACGGATGATCCAAGATTGGTGCGTTCAGAACCGTTCTCTCGGCGTTGAACGGATCCCTACCCCACGAATTCCAGTTTCTCCATTTGAAGTCTCCGAGATTTGTTCAAGGATTGCCAGTGCTACTCGACGTGGAGATGAAAACAAGTGTGGGGAATTGGTTAGGAAAATCAAGAATTGGGGCAAGGAAAGCGAAAGAAACAAGCATTGCATTATAGAGAACGGAACGGGTTGTGTTTTATCAGCTTGTTTCGAGTCTTTCGCCGGTGATTCATTCGAGAAACACGTAAATCTGTTGGTGGAAATTCTATCGGTGCTGTCTTGGATGTTCCCTTTTGTCGAAGAAGGCCGATCTAAGATCGTTTCTGAGTCTTCTTTACGTTGTATCATTTGGCTTTTGAGGAACGGAGATCTTTCTGCTAGACAGGCTTCGGTCTTGGTGCTCAAGGAGATTCTTCATTCGGATGAAAGAGGGATAATTCCAAACACCTTGCGAGCAATTGAAGGAGTTGCTGAAGCACTGTTTTGTTTGATCAAGGAATCAATTTCACCAGCTGCCACTAAAGCTTCGTTGATGTCTATTTACTGCATGATTTCTTCAACGGCGAAGAACGACAAAATTACCTCCAGATTTGTGGAAATGGGTTTGGTGGGTGTGATCGTAGAAGCCATTGTTGAGGCGGAGAAAAGCGTTTGTGAAATTGCTTTGGGCGTATTGGATGAAATTTGCAATACTAAAAAGGGGAAAGAAGAGGCCTGCAAGAACGCTTTGATTACGGCGGTGTTAGTGAAGAAAATTTGGAGAGTTTCGAATTGGGCGACGGAGCTTTCGGTGTCGATATTGTGGAAGCTTTGCTCGGAGGAAAGTGTAAGGATAGAGGCTATTCAAGTGGGGGCGTTTAAGAAGTTGTTAGTGAGCTTGCAGGTTGGATGTGGTGAAAATACGAAGGGGACGGTGAAAGAATTGCTGAAATTGCTTAATGTTTACAACAATAGAGTAGATTCTTCTTGTTTGGATTCATCCATGGATTTCAAGTATCTCAAAAGGCCATTTTGATTTACATCAAAGATAGTTTATACCAAATGGGAAACATTCAATGAAAAAAATCATTCATTTTTTAAATTTTCTTGCCAAAATCCGGATCTGCTGGTAGAAAGATGAAGGTAGAGCTGCAATAATATATCTGGGCTAACAAAAACGAAAGAGATTAAAATAAATAAATAAAATTAATGAAGAATCAATTTATTCATTTTGAAATGCATAAAGATTTAATTAGTTTATTTTTTTTTGGTAAAGAGACTAAAGTACAATTCTGGAATAGTAAAGCGGTTGACATGCTTTTTTATAGGGAAAACTCATGTACGACTGAAGTTTGTCTGCTAATTTATTTATGTTATTGAACTTTTAGTTTTATTAATTATAAAAATGAATTTTAATTTCCGCTTCAACTATGTTATTATGCTATTAAGTCAGTGAAGGGACAATTATATGATTAACGGTTGCTGACACGGTATGTCACACCAAAATTATATTGTTTTAGACACTAAATTTTAGGGGTGTATCAATTTTATCAGTGAGCTTTTGAACATTTTAATTTTTTGACAATGCACTTTTCGACTGCTTTCGGCAACCAATTACCGCTCGTCACCGATCGTTTTTCACGATAAAAATGGTACCAAAATATTCATATTTCACTCCTCATTCTTCTCATATGATTAGTTTTCCATGAAACCCATTTAAAATCGACAAAAGTAAACAAAATAAAAATTACTAATTTTTAGATGTTTGGAGGCTTTCTTAGATTTATGAGATTTGAGGTGTTTGTTTGAAATTATGGACGGCAAAAATCATATTTCGGGAAGATAAACAACATACCTCAAAACTAGCCTCATCAGATTGTCATCAAAAGAGATCCGCATATTAATACGTTGAACTTTTAAATGAATTTTCGTCGATTTTAAGTGAGTTTCGTAGAAAATCCTAAGAGGAGAAAGAGGAGTGAAATATGACCATTTTGATGTCGATCTTACCGTAAAATATGACCAATGACGGGCGATGCTTGGTTATCAATGATAGCTAAAAAATACGATGATAGCTAAAACGACGTCGTTTTAGGCATCATAACAATCGTGCCAAAATGATTTTATTTTAATATGGCAAATCATGTTAGCAATTGTTAGCCATATCAATGTCTAGTTACTAACTTGACGGCAAAGTGGCATAATTAAAACAGAAATCAAAATTCAGTATTATAATTGACAAAACTAAAAGCTTAATGACATAAACGAGTCAACAAGAAAAATTTAGTGGTATCTAAAGTAGTTTTCTCTGTTTATATTATTCACATCAATGGGTTTGTATAGGGTTAAGTCTAAACCCTAGCCAGTGTGGCAGTATCCCGCCTAAAATCCTGAGCTGCGGACATTGAAGATTAAGGACCCAAAGCAAAAGCGTAACATAAAAATGGAGAAGCTGAAAACCTTGGCTTTAGTGGGAGGCGGAGCTTTTGTAGGTTCTGTTTCTACCTTGTTTCTTCTTAAGCTTCTCCCAAGGCAAGTGTCTTCTCATACCGTATGAAATTCAGTTGATCTCATTGATTCGTCGATTGTTTTTTTCTCTATTTTCCCTTGAAAGTGTCTGTTCATTTTTGTTTGTCCACATCCATCTCGCTAAAATTCCTAAATCTGAATAAAATTTCTTGGCTATGCTTTCTTTTCAGGATTTTTTTTTGAAGTTATTAATTACCTTTTAGTTGCCCAGGAAAAAAAAAGAAGACTAACTATAAGAATTTTGAACTAATCGTTTACTTGATCTGATTTCGTAAATGATAGAAAATTGGTTATATCCTTTAATCAGTTTATCAGATTTTTTTAATGATTGAATTATCTTTGTTTTTGCAGAAGGAATTCAAATCAGTGCGACAGCAAGGCTATCGGATCGAATGGTAATGTCTGTTTTATTTACTTAGTAATTGTCTTGTTATACAGCATTTCTATGTTTTAGGAAATCGGATTAATTGTGGAACTTTCGCCTGAAAGAAAAGGCTTGCTGTTGTATAGTATTCTCTCCTTTGTTGGGGTTGCTGAATAATATTCTCTCATTTGATGGATCTCTACATGGTTTTAGCTATTATCTCTATGCCTTGTAACGTTTTTGACAATTGACAGGCAAGACGCTTTTCTTTAGCTGAAAAAGTATTTCTGCTACATAAACCGATATCTGAGATTGTTCTGGTAAATATGATTAACTTAGACTAATATTTAGCAGTCTTGTCAAAGCGTGCGCCCAGGCATGCCTGTGCCTTAGCATTATTCAACAAAATTGCACTAGATCCTTTCAGGCCAGGCTCACACCTAGTGTGCTTAGGCACCCTCTTTGTTAAGGGGATAGGCATTTTTTCTTTTATTTCTTCTATTTCTTCCCTTTTTTTTATTTGGTATGCCTTTAGTAGTATGAAAAGGATACTATCAAACTCTATACTTCCAAATATTTACGCATTCAACAAAAAACATTGACCAATAAAGTTGCATGTTTTGTAGATAAACTAGACTCCACTTTAGAGTTTATCATATATCTTAAGCTTTATATATATATATATATTACAAAATCTCACTCATTTACGAATTGTGCTTTATTTCACTCAGGCTAGTGCCCTTTTTTGTGTCCTGTGCTCGAGTATAAGGGTTTAAGCACCTAGAATGCACCTTATGCCCTTGACAACATAGATATATGGGCAATTACTAGTTATAAGCTTATCAGTTATCACTTACTCGCTGACTGATGAATCTCTATGAATTTGATATTATAATGAACCCATGATTGTTTGAAAAACAACTTCTAACAGGATTTTGTAGTGTTCTGTTTAATAAAGAGGCTATGTGAAATTGAGTTTATTGTATTATTTCATTATTTTTTAGGATATGAATTAGGGCAAACACATGGTTATTATTATTTTTTGACAATTTTGTTTTATTTTATTAATATAATGAATTATGGATTTTTTATGACCAAAATAATGTTTTATGATTAGGGGTGAAATCGGTTCAGTTCTGTCGGATTTATTGAATTTTTGAATCATACATTTCAATTCGGTTTGAATTGGTTCTTGGTTTTTCCATATTAATTTTTGTTTTCGATTTTTTTGACTTTATTTTGATAAAATGGATTTGTTTTATGTTTTTGACATTTATTTGATAAATTTTCAAAGTCTTTTATGTAAATATTTGTAGAAAAATTTACTTTTGAAATAAATAAACAATTCATAAATCTTATATAATATTTGTAGTTTTCAAAGTCTTCTATGTTTTGCTTATTCCTCCTCTACGTTTTTCAAGTTATTTAGTGAGAGATCTAAACTTTTGAGAAGCTAGGAGATCAAGTTTGGGAGTAATCTTGTGAGAAGCTAGGAGATTCAAGTTTGGATTAAATGATATGGCAGTGTTGCATCTCTGTTTCTGTATGTGACAGCATCACCAAGTTAAAAGATTCTTGATATTTTCTTTTGGCTAGACACTTCTAAGGAAACTTGCATGACGTGGTGATTGTTGTTTGATTGTGTAGTATGCTTGTCACAAGTGATGAAAAGCTGCAGGTATTTTAGTTCTTTTGTTTGATGCTCTAATTGACCTATAACGCACATAGAAGGCTAAGCATGCTAGATTTGGTAGAGGCAATCGTAGTTGTTAATTATGGGTTATTTTAAATTTTCAACATCATTTACCTTTCAAATTTGAACTCTTTCTCGTTAAGCTTTTTGTATGATATTAGAAAGTTGGTAAAAATGTTTTTGTAATTTGTTCCATTTCTTTGATTGCTATTTCTGGAACTGGAAATGCATCAGACACAACATTCAGATATGGGATTGATCTTGGAAATGGGAATTGTGGGCTGGCTGCCTTGAACCTTCTAGCAGATGAAATAGTTTCTGAACAACTGACTAGGTAAATCTCTTTAACCTGAGGTCTATGGTTGAATTATTTTTCAAAGTTGACCCACTTTACGAATTTAAAATGCTACATGAGAATTGTGGTTTTTTGTTCATTTCTCAAATTCTTAGGCAATGCTTTCCCTAAATCTTGTATTCTCACTTGTAAAGACAAGCCGAAAGTCAAAGTGAGAGTATTGGTCTTTTTGTGTTTGTATAGCATGTGCACTACTCTCTCACTTTCTGGACTTACGAAAAATGTTTATTTCTATGATATATTATCATACTATATGTGACTCTTGCTATAACAAAGATTTTTATGTGGATGATCAACCTGGCAACTTTCAACAATTGGGAGAATTTCTGGATCAAAATAATTGAGGTTTCCGAACAACACACTCCACAATAAGCAGAAACCCTGTAGCTATGTACAATGTCTACATTTGGGGTGTAAGCTACAAAAATGTTGGTTGAATAGTTTGTGAATGAGCACAATTTTAGCTTTTTTATGTGCTGTTACTAATTAAATAAACAAATTTAAGCACATTTAACTAGTGAGTCATGTTTTACTATCATAAAAAAAGTGAGCCTTGCTTTATTATAGGTGAGATTGGCTTGTTTAAATTCATCTAGCTACTATATATGTATTACTTGAAAGTTTTCCTTTTAGATTTTTATACTTCTACTATTTTACTTTCATTTTAGACATTTTGTAGTGTTCTAGTCAAAACCTGCATTCTTTTTAAATTACAGCTAGAACTCAATTTTTTGGATAATTGATCTTAATAAGTAACTTATAACATATAGACCTGGTGTTTAAAGTTCATTTAAATGGCTAAAGATACTGGCTCTAACATTTCTCTCTTTTTCCTCCTTGTTGACGCTTCCTACACCTCTCACCCTCATCCACGCTCCTCTCACTGATCATCTTTCATTTCCAGTAACTCAAGTTAAGAGTGTCATGTTGTTTGGAATTAATTTTTTGTGATGAATGCGTTACTTGCTGATTTTTTCCCAATCTAATCAGCTAAAAGTTTATGGAAACTGGTATCGAGTTAGCTTGAACAGAACATTGAAACTCAACATTGACCAGCTTAAGCTCAGTTCCTAGTATAAAAGTTGGGTCCGAGCAGATCCAAGCTAGGTTGATGATTGAGAAATTTGTCTCAGAAATTGATCTTGAAAATGATTGAATACTTTGTTAGAGATATTGTAGTGGTGTTGTATGTCTGATGTAGCCAACCCACACATTTGAAGCAGATCAGGGGTTTCTTGGGAAAACATTATCAAAGAATTCATGTTTCTACAAAATATTTTTAGTGAAGGGTGTTACTATGTAGCCTTTTTTTCTCACTCGTCTTTTATCTATTTTAGTTAATGCTTTACACTAACACTTTGTATTTTGGAGGTATCATGTGGGAGCCTTATATTGTTATGGATATAATCATTGCAATAGTGAAAGTTTGAGAATGATTTATTTACTGTTAAAATTCTTAGGCTATTGTTATGAACTAAAGTATGGTCATGCATTGACCAATATTCATTTAGTAAGTGAATATGTCTTTTTTGCTTGTTGCTAGGAATATTCAGTTCTTTGGCCTTGACTCTCAAGAAAAGGTTACATCATCCTATGTTGTGGTCATTGGTCTTGGAGGTGTTGGAAGTCATGCTGCATCTATGCTTTTGAGATCCGGAGTTGGCAAGCTCCTATTGGTGGACTTTGACCAGGTATCTTATATCTAACATTAATCCATTGTTAACTATTTTGGCTTTGCTAGTATATGGTATGTATATTGCATATTTTTCCAAATTTTGTGTGCGGTATTGCTTCTCTGTTGCAAGTTGTCTTAAGCTAGAATTGCTGGTCGATCACAATTGATGTGTCAATATGTTATTTTCCTTGGGTCCTACATTTATTGCATCTATTGTCATGTTCTTAAATTTCTGTAAAACTTAAATTATTTAGAAAATATTGTGACTTCACAAATTTGGAAACGTAATAAATGTTGATATCATACTTAAAAACAAAAGAATTTTATAAATTCCACCTCAAGAGTCGAATTTTAGATGAGATATTAGTGTTCAAAATCCCACATCCAAATTCCAATTTTTTTTAAAATTTTGGAAGACTAAATAATTTAATTTTACTTTTTGAATTTGTTTCTAGAAATAAGTATCCTCCTTGGAATCCTTCATCCAAACATTCTCGTAACGGAAGTTTGAAATTTGGACAAATTTGCCCATGGAAAAAAACCAGGAACTTACTGTCTGTGTCATTACTATCTTTATACCATTGGATGTGCCAATTAAATTGAATATTTTGGGTAAAAGTGGATTCCCGCTTTCTTGTGACATCATTGTTTTGTGGCTTGCTCCTTTTGGAACTTCCAAATATACAATTTAATAATATTATATAGAACTTTTCCATCAATTTTCTTGTTCAAATTTCACTTTGCTAGTGCGAGGAGCAAATAATGTAAGTTGCATGTGGATGTGAAGCATGTATTTTCTTTAAAAATTCATCTGCATTAATTTCTTTTAATAAGAAATCTATACTTATTCTTCATTATACGAGAAGGTCTCTCTTTCATCATTAAATAGACACGCTGTTGCAACACGAGCAGATGTTGGTATCCCTAAAGCAGAGTGCCTCAAGAAGCATTTCTCTTCAATCTTCCCTGAGTGCCAAGTAGATGCAAAGGTGCTGCTATATGATGCGTCATCTGAGGAAGAAATTCTTTCTGGCAACCCTGATTTTGTTTTGGATTGCATTGACAACATCGACACAAAGGTGTGATCATAATTCATGAACTTTCAGTTTTACCAACAGGGTATATCAGAAGTTTATAAATGTTGCAGTCAAATGGTTTTTGACCATATATACAAGTAATTTCTTTCTGCGATTCATTTTATGTTTTAATTTATGTAATATTTTTTTATCATGTTAGTGCATGGGTAATCCTTCTTTATGCTTGTTTGAAATTCTACTCATCTAGAGCATGAGTAAGCAAGCGACATAGTTTCTAAATGACTTAATATGTGATTAGGTACCTGAATTTGGCACTTTTTTCTAATATGATGCCTGTGTTTTTTATCCAATTTGGTACCCGAATTATTTATTTTTCTAATGTGGTACCTGAATTTGGCACTTTTTTCTAATGTTGTACATGAAATTGAAAATTTTAACTTTTATGATGTGGCCTTTGTGCCATGTGTCACAATCTCATTGATTGTTGAGATGCCACATCATCGCATGTATCACATTGGAAAAAATTGAAAAATTCAGGTATCAAATTGGAGAAAAAGACTTTCAAATACATTATTGACTAAAAAGAACACAGGTAACACATTAGGGAAAAGAAAGTGACATTCAGGTACCAAATAGTATATTAAGCCTTTTTGGAACTGCTCAGATTGTTGTAATGGAAGAAATTCTACCTAAGATGACTATATTTCCTCTTGTAATAGGTAGCACTTCTGGCTGCCTGTGTGCGCAGAGGTCTGAAGGTACTATCTGCAACAGGAGCTGGTGCGAGAGCCGATCCAACGAGAATTCGTCTAGCTGATTTAAGAGAGTCGACAAATGATCCATTGTCTAGAGCTGTAACCTCTTGGCCCTGTTTCAATTCTCAAAACTGTAGCTTGTTGAGATATTTTTATTTGCCTATCTCTGTCTTTGTGCTTCAATTTTTATTTGTTTTATTTTGGTGGCACCGAATGTTTCATGGTATTCATTAATTAATTTAATTAATTATTTTAAACTTCTGATTCTTTCTGGTACATATGAAATGGATTTAGATTTTGTTGCAATGAAATCTGATGTGCTCTTGTGAATCTAAATTGGTATATTATTTAAGATGCAAACTGTATTTTGTGTGAAAAGTTCGTTGTTTCTTCCACATCATCTATTAAGGCTTGGCTTAGTAGGGAGAATAGAAAAATGGAAAGTTGGAGAGGAGAAAAGTGGAAATACGAAAAATATATTATTTTATTATTGATTTTGAATACAGAGAAAGTTGTTTTGGAGTTGTCAGTCATTCTGAACTGGAGGCTCTTTTTATCTCTAGCTTTTGTAATCTACACTTGTTACTGCAGTTTTGTGGTTGTTGCTGACTTATGATTGGTGTTTACTTTTGGGGATCTTAGTGAGGTAGTTTTCATTTGGTTTTGAAAATCTTGAATATCTTATGCATGTGTTTGTTAATTTTGGAGATCCAATTTTGGGCTTGTTCATCTATTACATTATAAAACATTGTTTAGGGGGTTCATTGCTATTGTTTGCTTAACTCATTGTTAAATTCTTGCTTCTAGGTAAGACACCGTTTAAGGAAAGATCATGGGATTGAGGGTGGAATTCCTGTTGTTTTCTCTTTAGAGAAACCTAAAGCTAAGCTGCTTCCTTTTAGAGGACCAAGTGGTGAAGAAGACCCTTCAGATTATCAAGTGAGGATGCTTGCTTATTACTTTCGCAGTTTCAAATTTGATCACTTAACATCAAGCAGTGGGGAAATTTCATCCACTATATTGCAGCAGAATTTGGAATTTAAAATGCATTTGGATGGAGCTAAAGTTGTGTTTCTTCTAGAGAGAAAATTTGAAATTGCTACTTGCTAGTGTTAGGACCCTGGTTTCTACTATCACTAGATTTATAGGTAGGAGTAGAAGGGAACTGTCTTGGTTTACATTAGCATGCAATCTACATGATTAATCCAAGAATTTAATGTGTTATTCTGCTTTCAGATTGTACCTGGGTTTAGGGTCCGCATCATACCTGTTCTGGGTACCATCCCTGCAATTTTCGGACAGGTTATGGCCTCCTACGTTGTTACACAACTTGCAGGGTTTGATGTTCAAACAGAGCCAGTGGTAAATCTAGATGTTGATCATTATCAGACACTCCTGCAACGGCTTATTGAGCATGAGGAGTCATTATATGGTACAGACATGCAAGTCCAGGTAGGATTTGGCCCAAAACTCTTTTCATGAAGAGTCATTATTTTCTGGCATTCTGTCAGCTTCCATTTCATGAACTGAAGTCGAAACCTTTGGATGTCAGCTTTCAACTTAAAGCTATTGAACAAATGTGAGAAGAAATGAAATTCTTACTTTATTGCTCTAAACGTAAATTACAATTTATAAGGAAGAACTACTCTAAGTTAGGAAATAATTTCTAAGATCAGGGAATTAGATTAGTTGACTATTTACATAAGGCAAACTCCTAGAATTAAGAAAAAAAAGATATTGTTCCTTGATTCTAGGAATTCCAACACTCCCCTCAAGCTGGTGTATAGATGTTCATCAAACCCAGCTTGCTAGTGAGATCTTCAAACATGTTCTTGTTTAGGCTCTTGGTAAACAAGTCTGCAATTTGTTGTTTAGTTGGTAGGTAGGTTATGCATACTTCCCCTGATTCGATCTTTTCTTTGATAAAATAGCGATCTATTTCTACATGTTTGGTACGATCATGGTGAACCGGATTGTATGCTATGCTCACTGCTGCCTGATTGTCACAGTACAGTTTCATAGGTCTGGTGTGAGGCATTTTTAATTCCCTCATTAGTCGTTGTATCCAAATTCCCTCGCATATACCATGTGACACAGCTCGATATTCAGTTTCAGCACTACTGCGGGCTACAACAGATTGTTTTTTACTTCTCCACGTCACAAGGTTACCCCACACGTAACTGCAGTAACCGCTTGTAGACCTTCTATCATTCACCGAACCTGCCCAATCAGCATCTGTGTAGATGTCTACATATCGGTTATTTGTTTTCTTGAAGTATAGGCCCTTACCCGGGGTTCCCTTCAAGTATCTCAACACCCTATGGACAGCCTCTAGATGCTTCTCCCTTGGGTTATGCATATATTGGCTGATAACACTCACACTGAAAGCAATGTCAGGACGAGTGTGGGATAGATAGATAAGTTTTCCCACAAGTCGTTGATATCTCCCCCTGTCTACTTCCTCTCCATCTTCATTATTTCCAAGTTTCAAATTGAATTCCATCGGGGTCTCAACAGGTCTGCAACCTAACATGCCAGTATCCTTCAGTAAATCTAGAAATATTTCGTTGAGAGATGGAGATACTTAGAAATATTTCGTTGAGAGATGGAGAGTCGAGACCTTGCTAATTCCATTCCAAGGAAGTATTTTAGATTTTCCAAGTCCTTAAGCTCAAATTCAGTGCTAAGGAACTCTTTTAGGCATCTGATTTCATTCGAATCATCTCCTGTTAGAATGATATCGTCAACATAGACTATAAGGATGGAGCATTTACCTTCCTTTGAATGTTTTTAGAACATGGTATGGTCAACTTGTCCTTGGGTATATGCCCTGCTGGTCATAGCCTTGGCAAATCGACTAAACCAAGCTCTTGGGGATTGTTTCAACCCATATAGTGATTTCTTTAACCTGCATACCCGACCTTTTTCTTCTTCGAATCCTGGTGGAAAGTCCATATACACTTCCTCAAGCAATTCACCATATAGGAAGGCGTTTTTAACATCCAACTGAGTCAAAGGCCAATCAAGATTGCAGCAAGTGATAGAAGACCCGAATAGTATTAAGTTTGGCAACAGGTGCAAAGGTCTCATCATAGCGAGCCCATATGCTGAGTGAATCCCTTTGCCACAAGTCGAGCCTTGTGCCTGTCAATAGTTCCATTAGTTTTGAATTTGTGGTGAAAATCCATTTGCAGCCTACTGGTTTTTTCCCTGTAGGCAGATCCGAGATTTCCCATGTTCCAATGTTTTTTAGAGCATTCATTTCTTCCATTACAGCATGTTTCCATTCGGGTGATTCAAGAGCTTCCTTCACATCCCTTGGAGTTTTTACATGGTCAATATTTGTCACAAAGTTTTTGTATGACTTGGATAGATTTCCATAAGACACAAACCGAGAGATAGGGTGTTGGGTGCAGGTCCTTGCACTTTTTCGAATATCAATTGGGAGATCAATAGATGGAGAATAAGGGGTTACCTCTGTTGTAGAACAGTCCACGGTTGTAGATGAATTTGGCACTGCTATGTCAGTTTCAGGAGAGTAATGACGCCTTGAATAAACCCGGAGTTCCGAAGCACAGAGTTGTTGAGTTTCAAGAGCAAGCTGTTGCTGTTTCTGCAGACTAGGATCATCATTGCTGCTGGGAAAGGGGCTACTGTGAGGGGACTATGAGGATGTCATTAGGTGGCTGCTGTGAGGGGACTATGAGGATGTCATTTGTATGAAAATTTGTGGTAGATTAGGATCGGGTGGTGGAGTAATAAGGAGGGTATTGAGGTTCTCATCTTCATTGAGAATCTCTCTTGAAGATGAGTTGCTGAAAAATATGGTTATGTTTCAAAGAAGGTTACATCTCGGGAAACAAATGTACGATGCAAAGTAGGTGAGTAACATTTGTACCCTTTTTGCGTAGGGGAGTAGCCAACAAAAACACAAGTATGAGCACGAGAGTCAAGTTTAGATAGGTTGGGTTGATGGTTATGGACGAAGGCTTTACACCCGATATTTAACCGGTAAGGTAGAAACATGGAAAAGAGGGAAAGCTTTTTGAAAGGTATTTAGAGGTGTTTGAAATTTAAGGACTTTGGATGGCATTCGGTTGATTAGGTAGCATGCGGTAAGAACAACCTCTCCCCATAGGTATTTTGGGATATTTGTGATAAACATTAGGGCTCGAGCAACATTTAATAGGTGCCGATTTTTCCTTTCCGAAATTCATTTTGTTGTGGTGTGCCTGGACAGGAGCTTTGGTGTATGATGCCTTGTTCTGCAAGGTAAGGACTTAAAATCGAGTTGAAGTACTCTCTTCCATTATCGGTGCGGAGCGTTTGTATGACGGAATTGAATTGGGTTCTAATCATTGAATGAAAATTTTGAAATACTTTGGGTGTTTCGGACTTTTCTTTGAAGAGATAAACCCAACAAACTCTAGTATGGTCATCAATAAATGTTATAATCATCTAGCCCCCGTAATATTTTTCACTCGGCTAGCCCCATAGATCACTGTGTATTAAGGAGAAGGTTTGGATTGGATGTAAGGTTTTAATGTATAAGGAACACGAGTATGTTTTGAGAGTTGGCAGATTTCACACTTTAGGGAATTTGGATTTTTAGTTCAAAATAACAGTGGAAATACATACTTCATGTACAAGAAGTTTGGGTGTCCTAGCCTTTGGTTCCACAACATAATTGTGTCCTCATGTGAAGCAGATAACGCCAAACTTCTTTCTTATCGTCTTTATTCCATATGTAGAGTCCATCATCAACCTTAGCAGTGCCAATCATCTTTCCCGATTTCTGTTCCTGTACAACACAACCACGAGCAGGAAATCCAACAAGAGCAGCATTATCCTCAATTAGTTTACTAACTGACAGTAAATTGCAGGATAAACTTGGGACATGTAAGACTTTGTCAAGAGAGTTTTTCAGTGAGTTGAACTGCCCCAATCCCAGCAACAGGCAAGTATGAACCATCAGCTATTCGGATACGAGATTGATTGTGACAGGGGATGTAGCTGTGGAACAGGGATGAGTTACCTGTCATGTGGTCGGAGGCAAGTGGATTGATTAGTTGAATCCGAAGTAATATTAAAAGCAATACCTTGAATAGCCAAGGATCCATGAGCAGTAGGTGTTTCAAGTATCTTGTGTAGGGCTTCGAGTTGAGATTTGGTTAGGCGGACATCGAAGGTATTTTCTGTAGAGGATGAAGTGTTGGATGATACAAGGGCTGAGGTTTTAGATTCAAAAAGATTTTCTGATTGTTCTGCCATAGGAAGAAAACAACGCAAGAACAATTTTTAGAGGAAGAGCATAATAGGATCGAATGAGTCCTACAGTTCTGATGCCATGAACAAATGTGAGAAGAAATGAAATTCTTACTTTATTGCTCTAAACGTAAATTACAATTTATAAGGAAGAACTACTCTAAGTTAGGAAATAATTCCTAAGATCAGGGAATTAGATTAGTTGACTATTTACATAAGGCAAACTCCTAGAATTAAGAAAAAAAAAGATATTGTTCCTTGATTCTAGGAATTCCAACAGCTATTTTATTGATAAAGGCAATGTATTATTGGCTAGTTGAAGCTGTATTGCCTAAATACTTGGAATAATTACATTCATCTTTATTATTTCCACTGAAGACTGTTTTTATTAATATAAGCAACTTAAAACTATTGTTTTATAATATACATATTCTTCCTCATTAATTGACCTGGAGCACAGAAATCCATTCTAATTTAAATAATGCCTATCCACATTCACTCATTTGTTGAATACTGAAACGGATTGTCAATTGCTTAACCCAGATTATCCCACATTTAAAAGAGGTAAATAATAAATGGTAAATGATTAACAAACCCTTAAAAGCATTTTAAAATGACATTTATAATCTTATTATATATTTCAAATATTTGCGTCATAATATCATTTACCCAAGAAAAATTAAACAGAAGTCTTAAGTCCTTATGAAATTATGGTCAGTGGCATTGTTCCAAAATCTCTTTATTAGTAAACCGTTATATTCTGACCCTCCAGCTGGTTATGGTGTGTCATTCTTAGTTCCCTTGTCTGGGAAACCATTTCGACGTCATATTAGTACTTTTGTTAGTGATCTACATCATATTAATATTGTTCTTCAAATTTATGTGTTTTCCATTTCTTGTTGCCATTACCTGTAGGTTGATGTTGAGGAAGTGCGGTACATCGTTAAAGAGTTGTGGCATGGGAGAAGTGTAAGAGAACTATCTGCAAAAGATGTGGGCCGTGGCATGTGGCGATCTGTTAATGAGTTGATGCTTGTTAGGTATGGTTTGCTTCAGCTGTATAACTTGGAGCATTTGGCTTTCACTTTTTTTTTGGGTATAATTGCATAGGATCATCATGCTTTTTCTGATAGCGAGTTTATTACAAGTGTTTTTTATGTTGTTTATTCGTTATGGTCTGGGAATATCCTGAAACCCGTCTTATTTTTTATTTTTGCTAGTGTTGAATTATGGTGACATTTTTTAGTCCAACAGTACATTCTTTCCTGTAAAGCTCCCCCCAGTGGGGGTGAAATTGCGTAAAGGTGCTTTGTCCACATAACTAGAGGACTACCTCTATGTGGAATCTTATCATGTACTAAGTTATATGAGTATTGAGAATTCTTTCTCCCTTGGATTATCTTATTTTTGTTTTTATTAGTTCTGAACGATGGAGATTCTTTAGTCCTCTTACAATTGAAACTGGACACAAGTGCCTTGTCCAAGGACTAGGGGACTTTACCTTGTATAGAGCTAATATCATTTTATGTATGTATATTATTTCAGCTGCCCTCTCTAATCCAATTATGGATACATCCGTGCGTCCAATATATATTGGATAACAATTTTGTTACGTGGTGCATGGATAACATTTTAAGCTCATTTTTAAAGGAAATTGCATCAGTCTTTCCGCCATGAACTTTGAGTAGAGCCATTTCTTTTAACGTGTCACTAGTCCATTTCCGGCCATCTTGCAGTTGCACATGCTCAAGAATCAAGCCTAAGTGTAGCCTATTGATTGGTTCATAACCTTTGCTTGTACTTTTTATCTACTTAAAGCACAATATCTGTTACTAGAGTTGTGTTATAAATATAGTCTATGAATTGAAATCATACATGACTTGCACGTCTATGGTGATATTTGATTTACCTTTAATGCATTGTTATCCATTATTCATTTCAGATGGGATCAGGCAAAGCCAGCATCTGTATCAAATTTAGTTCTTTTAAAATTTAAAGAGGTATTGTCTTAGCAAAGACCCTTTGTATTTCTTACTTAATACTATACTTTTCCAAGTATTCTGAATTCTTTATATATACGTACCTTACTTTTCAAAGTATTAGGAATTTTGTTTTGTATTTAGTATTTACAATTTGTTAGGGTTTTGGGTTTAGTTATGAATATTTAATTCTTGATTAGATTTTACTTTAGCAAGTGCTTTTTTACAATCTTTTCATACTATTCTATAAAAGTCCAATGAATTCTTAGGTTTTTGTTTTGCATATATTCTTTTAGATCATCCTTCCATTGACAATTATGATGATATTTGTTTAATCTTAAGATTTTTAACATCTTGGATGCACTTAAAGAATGTACCTTTCTTGTGCTATTAATTCTTACTGTTAATCATCATTTTTTTTAATTCCCTTGGCGGATTCTCTGTTTCCGGATTTTGAATTCCATTTGTATGTTAGAGGAAGGAAATAGTAATTCATACTTCCAGGGTTCATCTTAGAGGAAGGAAAGTGAACAATTATGTCTTAGTGCTCACTAAATCTACATCAGATGATGGATCCCATGAAAGCAAAAGCTTCGATAGAACAACAAATGTTTATTTTCCTTTCATTTAGTCACTGTGGAATGAGCTTATTGCTGTTTCATAATTTGACGTGATATTTGTTATTTGAAGGCTGATGAACATGAGCAGAGGAGTCTAGAGGATATAAAAGAAAACGAACCAGCTTTTTTCAAGAGGGTGACATCCGTGCTGAAGCGAGCCGAACAAGACTTTGGCTTGTAACATGACGCAATCAGTTGAGTGGTTAATTTATGCAGTATATTTCAATGTGACTGTTCTTTATCCTTAGATGTTGATGTTCACATCCAACTTATGAACCATAGTGTCGTTTATACGCAATTTCCGTCTTTTGTTTCTTTTGCCTGTACTCTTTGCATAACTCGTCATTTATGTTTAAAATATGTTCTGTTCTCGGCCGGTTCATATCAGTGGCTTCAAGACATTTTTGGTTCAATCGGCTGCAAGAACAAACTTCATTTGATCTAAAAATGCATTCAAAATTTGAAGGGAAAAACATAAAAGAATTCCACGGATTGATTGGGAAGAGTCTATCCAAACCTCCTTTTCTTGTGGGTTGAATTTTGGCTCCAAAATTAGCAGTGGTCAGTCATATTCAATGAGAAATCAAGGCTTTCGTATACCACTTTAGATGCAAAATTTAATGATTACGGCAAATATTATGCTATAAAGAAAAGTGACAAACAAGCAAGCATAGAAAGGAAATTAAGAGCAAAGATGTCAAGACCGCCCTATCTTTGCAAATTCTCTCATTCTCTCGACTTTTAGTCTCTGCCACCGCCACCGCCATGACTAAATTTGAGCACATCTTGTGGCCGACGAATATTGTGAAGCATGTCCTGAATCACATTTTCAAAGTTGCTCAAATTTTCGGTGATTATATATTATTTCTTTTTCCTCTGCAGAGTGTAGAGACAAATTCGAGATCTTTAAAAGGCAATTAAAAGAAGGGAATGAAAATATAAATCATTGTTCGTCAGACACAACTAAATTAAATACCTTTAAGATGCTGATCAGTTTTTTGTACAAATTTTTCATGTTATTGTAAGAAAAAAATCAGCAATAAATACAATATATGCAGAGCGATGGCGTCCAATTTGTTTTTCACAAAGAAAAAATCACCATAAGATCAACCTAAAGATCAGGGGGAATGCTTTACCATGTGAAGAACCAGATGCCAATGCAACATCGATTTTAAAACTTGATCTCATTCTGCCTATTAGCAGGTGCGACACACTGCCATAAGGATCGGTATGCATCTATATCGGCAGCTTCCACTCCCAAGGCAGCAAGGTTCCGTCCATACTCCTGGTAACAGTATACAGTTCAATACAATACAATCGAGCTGCATAAGATATTCAATGACAGGATAGAGGGAAGGATACCAAATTCTAGGGATGGTATTCACCTGAATATCAAGAAATAATTGCATGCAAATTTTGTCAGTATCGGACACATTATGATCCGAGATATCTGAGCTCGCCCCAGCCCGTCTTTGTGCACCTTGCCTTATTCTTTGAAGTGAAGACTCTGTCTTCCGTGCCTGGACAAGATAATTTAGAGGTTTTATTCAAAGCATGTTTAATGTCAAGAGGAAAAAACTAGGGAAAGAAATTGTTTGTGATACTAACCACACTGACAAGGTCAGCAGCTAATTCACAATAGCGAGTAGTTATGTCTGTCGCAGTACCTAGCAGTACATTATTCCTCGCATTGCTAGTCAAATACTTTGTAGCTTGTTCACCGTCCAGGAAAGCCTGAAAGCATTGAAAAATGCGGACTAAGCAAAGTAATATCCACTGATTGCCGATGCGTGCAGCAGAAAACAAACACTTTACGTAAAAGTATAAACATTCCATGGAAAATCCATGCCACAGAAGTAAAAAATCTGGACTGCAGCTAAAATTGTTATATTCTAAGCAAAAAATATATATAATTTCTATCAGATTTTGTATTTCAATTTTATGTTCCTTGGATTGTTTTCTTTGCTTTAAGAAAAAAGAGGGGGGGAAAAAGTGGAGAAAGGGTGTGTTTCTTGAGGGAAACATTAAAAGATTGCATACCTTCAATGGGCGCAATACTCCTGCCACATAAGGTGAATGTCTGACAGGAAGAGGTTTGTTTGTCATCCTGTAAGTTGCAGTTATACCCTTCAGCTGTCTCAAGTCCTGTGGAGTTTAAGATAAACAGAGAATGAACAAAAAATTCCAGAGTACAATGAAATTGCAAGCAAAAGATAAAAAAAAGAAAATACAATTGAACCCATAAAGCTTGTCACAGTCATTTCATAGTGCATGGTGACTCGAGGCGCTAGACAAAAAGAAGAAATGTGCTCATAGTGGTGAGGTGGAATGTGGATGTATGTAAAAAATACACTTCAGACTCCAGATACATGATTTTTTTTAATAAACTCTAAAAGAGTTTCAGAAATCCAACTTTGCAAAATTTATTTTTTCAGCATTTTCTGGCTAATATGCATGATTTGTCTATGATATCAACTAAGTATGTTTTCATATTGAGTAGGGAGTTTGAATTGTACTCATGTTTACTATTAAATGTACGGCTAATGCAAAATAAAATAAAAATAAACAAGCGCAAGAGAATTTCAGTTAGATGTTCTGCTTTTGTACTTATTGCCTTACAGGAAAACATGCCTATGTACACCATGCATGTGCCTCATTTGAAAGGGTATGAGATGCTTTCGTCGTTTGGCAGGTTAGCACCTAGGCACACGCCTTAACAACACTTGAGTTATATGCTAACATTGTAATTCTTACCTCAACAGACTTCTGAACTAAAGCCTCTAACTAAGGGTAACAAATCATCCAATGATTTTCTACAGTACAAAATGCTCTGCTTTACGAGGTCAAGGACTTCAGCAGAACATGAAGATAGAACATGAAGAACATGATCAAGGTAAGAACCAGAAATCTCCTTGGACAGACAATTTATGTCATGAATAACCTGCAAGCACGAGTGTGTTCATACATATGCGCAAAATTCTGGATAAACAATAATTAAGTCTACATTATATATTTATATGGTGCTCGACTTGGAGAATGAAAGCAAACTATAAGTAGATTTCAGAAATAAAAAAGAAATAGATGATAGAATCCTCAAAGTCCCGTCAACAGTAAGGTACATAAACTCAGCAGATTGAACTTTGGGGACTGAAAATGATAGATTTAAAGCAGTTGCATAACTACGTTACTTATTTTCCCACATTTTAATAATGAAATTTAGGTATATATTTTTATGCTATGAGAAAGTATAATTACCAGTTTTAATTTCTCTCTAGATCTTTCAAGATTAGAAATAATCAAGTGGATAAGTGGAGAACTAATAATTTCTCCATATTTATCTCCCCATTCAGGTACCCAAACAAAAATAATTCTTAGTTCTTCCAGCAATTCTCTAAATTTTAAATTTCAAAACTCAAACATAAGAACACCATTGATTAAACCTCTATGTGTTAAAGAAGGCTCAGTGAATTTAAGTTGAAACATAATAGAATAAAGACATGGGCGTACATAAACAAAATCATCTGGAGCAGCTGAAAGAGCCCACTCACATCCAGGGTTGGAGCCAGCACCACCCTTCTTCCATGCAGCCAATCCAGAGGACAACCAATTTGAGTATCTATCAATCACAAAATACAATCAGATGTTGATAGCCGGTGTATCTAGACTACCCAAAACTATTTGATCTGAGGAATGACCTTGAGAGCAGCTGCAGGGACAAGCGAAGAAACTTGTCAGAACAAGAAAGGACAAGAACTTCTTCATTCCAGCAGGATCTCAAGCTATCCAAAAGAATAACACTTTGTTTAAGTGTTAAGTTCTTGGGATCTTCTTCACCAGAACCAGAATTTTGAACAAGAACAATACTAGGTGCTGTAAGTGCAGAGTCCAGAGCACCTGCTATTTCTTGAAACCTGAGCAGTTGAAAATAAGAGAAGTTCATATCTAAGTAATAATAGAATATTGTATTAGTAAAATAAACATCTAATGGTTCCACTCAATACCTTAACGAGAAATAAACACCAACATTCCACTGCTTCATGAATTCAACATAAAAAGGTGCTGCTCGAAATTTGGCAACAGCAGCTCTGGTTGGGCAATAGCCTGACGATGGAAAATTCTTTTATACAATAAAATAATGGTCTAAAGTTTAAACACTTTAATTCTTTACCAAGGTAGCCTTAAATTTTAGTCTTAGATACGAAATGAAAGGTCAGATGGCTACCTTCAAGATAAGCCAAGAAATCTAGGCTTGATTTGTAGTTTTTGAGGAATTCCTTAGGTCTTCCTGGAGAAAATGCACCAGGCTTTCCCTTTTGGATGGCTTCTAAGACCTCTTTCAGAATTGAATTTGCTAAGAAGTCAAATACATGTAATCCTGAATTCTCTGGGGAAAAAAGCAAACAAACAAAAATCAGGAAACTGAAGTTAAATATACAAAGACCATGAGAAGACAGATACCATGCACCATATGGACAATGAGTTTTAACAACTCTGATTTCTATATTCAACAAGCTCAAACAAATTCTTGTCAGGACACAAATCCATGTCTGTCACCAAGTTCATTATAGGTAGTAACGGCCAAAGGCCAATGAGAAACAAGGTGAAGTTGCAGTATTAATAGGATTGATATGGGATACAAACAAGTAGATATGTACCTGCAGAAGCAATTTCCAGTATGAACTTAAAATCCTTCTCAACATGCTTTTTAATTTGTCTATAATCATTCTCAAGTTCATCTCCAGATGCCCCAGCAACAACTCCAGAAGATCCACGTGGAATAACATTTTGTATCAATGGAGCCACGATGATTGTGCGAAAAATTTCTTCTGCATTACCATTGTTATCAATAGCAGAATAAGCACGTAAGCAATTATAAATTGCAGTGACATCCCTGTGTTCCAGCCCATCAACAAAACAGTGGCCCAAGCTTGCATTTAACAGTTGGCTAGCACTCTGAATCCTCTTCTCAATGTTCTGAACGAAAGGAAGGTTCTGCATTTGTGTAATATAGAAAACAGATATTCTATGAATTTCTACATCCAAAGAAAAAGGATTTTAACCTGGTGTTGGTCACATCATTCTGAGGTACATATCCATAATGCATATGATACAGATTTTAGTAAAATCATTTTGGTGTCAGTCACCACAAAGCAAAATTACCCTAATTGTCAACCATTCTTATAAGTTGTGAGATTTGATATGAACTCTATGTTTATAGCTGATATGAGGCATATATACATGATACATGATGCTTAAAAAGATTTCACGCATGAGTTTATTAATGAAGAGGTTCACACTGCTCTTATGCAAATGCATCCTTCTAAATTGTCGTGGCCTGATGGTATGAATTAAATGTCTTAAAAACGTTTGGCATGCTGTTAATGGTGATGTTATCAAAGTTGTTCTGGATTTTCTAAAGAGGAGTGATTTTGATGATGTGATTAACCACATCGAAATAGTGCTAGCTTTTTTCTAACTGTGAGAATCTGGAGAGGAAGTTGGACTCTAAACCAATAAGTTTATGCAATGTTCTTCAAAACCTTATATCTAAAGTGACGGTTAACCGTATTGACTCTTAAGGACATTCTTCTTGATATGATATCGAGAATCAGAGAATAAGTTACTTTGTAATAAATTTCCATTACTATAAATTTCCATTCAGAAAACAAATCCAAAAGGAAATTACATAATTAGATGTGAAATATTTCAGCAGTTACAACATAAATTTGAGGCTGAAAAGAAAGAGAGGTACCTGTGCATGGGCAATATAAAAGTTGAGGCGATTCATCTCGCTGGCAATTCTCTCAAGAAGCATGCTTTGGGTCTCTCTGATATTTGTTGTTCCATTCTCAACATGTGAGCTCAAAGCATTACTCTTTTGAATTGAATTAACATCTCCATTCGACAAATCTGAAGACACACTAGGAAGCTCCTTTATAAGTTTTTCAACCTAATAAAGGAGTTTGTTTACATCAAAACTATTAGAAACGGAAATGGAGATGAATCATGAAGTATACAACTGCAATTACCTTGGAAACAACATGAAAAGTGTCGAGCAGCAACTCCAGCACCTCTCTAGCAGCAGTAGCCTCAGCTCGTTGGCTCATTCCATTCTTCAAAGAGGTAAGTGAGCTCTCAACAGCTCCCCTAAAGCCTTGGATCTTGTCACGGAGCTCAAGAAGTGGAGCACGCATACGAAGCACTGCAGAATCCACATCGACCAGTTTGGTGGAGAGGTTTACAAAGTCGGCATAATCGCGGTTGATGAGATCAATCAGTTCATGGTTGAGAGATGAGAGATGAGCCTGGAGTTCAGATCGGAGGGTGTCAAATGGAACAAAGGTTCGGAGCTCCGCAATGTACGATTCAGAGTCGAAATCAGGGGAAAGGAAGAGAGAGGGCTTGAACCACATTGGGTGAGAATCAAGAGGGTCAGAGAACAGATCCGTGGCGGATCTTGGGGCTGGAGATGGGATTTGATCCGGCATTTTCACACTTCGACTGGAATTCAAATCCAAATCAGATTTGAATTATAACAATTCCTATATTGCAAGCAGACATATTGCCATAAAAAATCAATATGCACCCGATTTTATATTATTATTTTTTCATTCAAACTCAATTACTGAAATATCAATAAACATGCGAAATAAACGCTGCTCCAGATTATATACTTGAATGAATTACTTCGAAAATGAAGCAAAATTGTAACCAAATAAAAATCTATAGATTAATAGCAAGAAAAAGGATAAGTTGACCTATACGACGTCGTGTGCAAGATGAATCTGAAAGGCAAAGCGTCGGATTAAAACAAAGTAAAACGGTAAAACCAAGAAGTAAGGAAGGGAGGAGGCCACCGCCGGTAGAAGTACAGCAGCGAGAGGAGGGACTGCTTAAGCAAGAAGAAATAACAATTGAGGCAGATCCAGAGACCCAACGACGTAGTTTTATTTGAAAACTGAAAATGATCATTTCGTCGATTAAGTGGCAAAAATTACATGTTGTCTACTCAAAAAATCGGTAATGCATTTTTGTCATGTAATTTTAAAATCATTAGATTTTGTATATCAAATTATTCACCCTTAAAAACTTTAACAAAAATAATATAATTTGATGCAATTTTAATTGTAATTTTAATTTTTAAAATTTAAATTTTATCATTTTGATCCTAATTCCACAAATTTCTCTCATATTTTATGGTAGTGAAGGAAAATAGGGAAAGCATTTTGTTGAAAAATGAGATACAGAGAAAGGCAAAGTATGAAGAAAATGAGCAAAATTCATAAAACAAAACTTATAAATCTAATTTAGTCACGAGTTGAAAATGAAGAAAACGAAAAAAAAATGAATTGAATGGATGAGGGAGAAAGAAAATGATTTTTTTTAAATAATATATATAGTAATATTTTTCATAAATATATTAAATAATATATATAATGACAATTTTAAATATTTCAAGATAAGTATATTTATATGCGGAGATGAACACATTATTTTATGTTAAAGAGACAAATGTTAAAATTTTCGGAAGGGACTAACTTATAAAATTTTAGAGTACGAAAATATATATTAATAAAAATACATAAAAAATCTAAAATATATAATAATTTAAAAAATTTAGAGATGATGGTTCCTATCTGTCTCCCTCGATCAATCCTTATTTATATTTATCTTAAATTCAAATTTATTCTAATCTTATTGTATTCTTCCATGAAATTTGTTTCGCTTGAGGAAAATATCCATCAAATTTAAGTGTCTTATCTTCAAATAGGTGTGAGTAAAGGTAAGTGACAAGGATGATTGGAAAAGAATAAGGGTACGTTTGGTTCACGGAATGTAAGATTACCAGTGGGAATGTAAGATTATTAGGGAATAGAATTACTGGGAATATTATATTTTGTGTTTGGTTGGTTTAGCAAGAATGTAAGATTACCGTGTTTGGTTAAAGGAATAAAAGATTATTGGAATGTATATTTGACAAAATTGTCCTTATTATATATTTATTTTTTAACAAGTTGGAAAATATTTATATAATATTTATATATTTTCTTTTAAAAGATTTAAATTCATAAAATTTATATATATATTTTTTTACAAAATTGAAAATATAAAAAGGTTTAATGAAAGGGTAAAATTTTATTTAAACCCCTGAACTTCATATAAAATTTTAATTATAGACTTTTTTTTGTAAATCTAAAATATTTTAAGGATAAATTTGTAATTTAACATTCGTAGAATTTTATTATTCAATGACAGAAGAATGATATTTTTGAAGAAAAAAAATTTAAGGGCTTTTTAGTCCAAAACGTCGGTAATCCAACAATACCTAAGGAAATGGAGGTAATGACATTCCTGGTAATATACCCAAAAAATCTACTATTGGTAATAAAACATTACCGGGAATGAGATTCCCGGCCAACCAAACATGGGAATCTGGATTTCATTCTCATGAGAATCTCACATTCCTTGATCCAAATACCCCCTTAGGGTAAGTATACTGGTAGTCTCTTGATTATAAGATGTTGTTTTGTTGAGTCATCTGACTATTAAAAGTTAAAAAATTATCCTCAAACTATTGTACATTATTTTCTCAAGTCCTCAGACTATTAAAACTTACAAAATGGTCACTCAACCATTTATATATTTCAAAATTGTCTTTTTTCGTTAAAAATGTGATAGTCATCTGAGCTAAATGTTAACCTATTGAATGGATATGATAAAATTATATTTTTAATGATGTCTATTGTACCATCGTTGCTTTCAAGTATTGACTCAATGACATAATGTTTCAAGCACTAGCTTGACGACATAATGTAAATGGAGAGTCTATTCAGAAAATACAACTCAAACAGTTATGAGATCATTTTTTATAATATCTCATTCAATAGGTTAATGTTTAACTTGAACGGCCTCCAATTTTTTAACGAAGAATGACAAGTTTGGAACATACAAAAAGTAAAGAGACCAATTTATAATTTTTAATAATCAAAAGACTCAACAAAACAACACTTATAGTGAGAAGACTATTACCCAGAGCTTCTAGCTAGCTACATACTTTATATATTATTGAATGAGATTTAGTTATTAAATGCTAATGTAAAAGTGTTTTTTACAATTTATTAATTTGAAAGTAGTAAAATGAGTCATTCCAACTGATCCAAATGAACTTGGGATTAAAAGTTTCCTAGGCGGTGGTCCAGCCCAACTCCTCAACACCATTCTTTGAATGTTAAAATGGACAATGATGGATTGTACTCTCCATATATAATCACCAAGAGTTGTTCAACGGCTTTTCCAGCAAAGCCGACAGATAAACCTCCCTAAGCTCCGCTCCCCTATCAAGCTTACGTCCGACCACCCACTTCAACTCATTGAATCCGACGCTTCGAATAAGCGGCGCGTACACCTCCTCCAACTGCTCGCCGGCACAAAAGAAATGATCCAACCAAAACAAACCTCCCGGCCTTAACACCCTGTAAACATCAAACAACAAGAAATGGAGCACTGTCGTCGGAACCCAATTGCTCAAAACATGCATCGAGTGAACTATATCCAACGTGTTATCGAAAAATGGCAGTCTCTGCGATATGCTCATGTACAAAGGGACAACCCCTCTTGAAGCAATGAAACTATTGAACGGACCGTTTAAGTTCATCGAAGTTGTGACGATGTTTATGTTTCTTTCCATCAATTTCACAGCGAAAGTCGCCACCCCACCGCCGATATCTAGCCCTATTCTAATCGTACCCGGTTTTTTTCGTTGCCAGCACTTCGTCGATGGAGAAGTTAAGTTCTCCGTCGGATGTCGTCCAACGAGTTCTATCGCGACCTTTGAGATCAAAGCAATCTTTGCAATCGTCGAAGCCCTTTTGCTTCTTTCGATTGATCAAACAAGTGTAGTTCTTGCAAGAATAAGCTGTCCATACGACTGATGAATCGGGTGGCGTTGTCCATAGGCTGAGTGGTAGCGGATAAGGTTCGGGGTATCGAAGCGGAGCAGCGGGTCGGCAACGGCGACGAGGGAGTGGCTCGCAGCCCTTAAGGAGGAGTTTCTGGGCAAGAAGCTCATCGTCGGGACATGAACCATTAACGTTGTAAGACATGTAACGTCGGAGTTCATCCGGGAAGAGAGAGCATGCGCGTCCCACGGGAGAATAGATTATGTTGGAGCCGAAATTTGCGTTGAACCCTAAAGGGAGTGACTGTTGAGAAACGAAGGTAAGTAACTCGTCGGGTTGTGAAGTAAGTTGGCCGGAAAATCTTGCTCGGTCATCTGTGGCAGTGGCTGCGGCGGTGGAAGTGAGGGACCGGAGTGAACAAGAAGAGTAAAGAGAGGAAGATAGGAACAAAGTGAGGAGATTTGTCGATAAAAGAACGAAAAAGAAGAAGAGATTGGGTGAAAGAGTGCTCGACTTTGGAGGGGAATCCATTGCCATGGCTCCTCGTCCGATTGGTAGTAATATATATAGAAAATAGAAAACCAATTAATATTTGGACATATACTAATTTTTTTATTTATGTTAAAACTTTATTTGTAAAATAAATACAATTATATTAATAAAGTTATTATAAAAGAAAGTGTGTGCGTATATATTGACAGAGCAGAGTAGGAGTGGAGTAGGAAGCTGGTGAATATAGTTTAGCAATTACTCTCGTAAAACTTTGAGAAAAATAAAGAAAAGCTAATGCTACAAACACCCAATACGATACAATAATTGTAAAATGGTCAACTGATTATAAAATGACATACACCTATGAAAATGACAAACTCAACAACCAATATATTTTAACTACAAATAAATGACAACCTACAAAATGTTGAGATCTTAGAAAATGGTTGGCTTTCTATATTTGAAATATACAGTATCTATAAATCAAATATTCACTCCATTCGCATGTTAGAATTTGTGTGGAAGTAGATTTTGGTAAACCATTGTTTGTTGTCGCAACTTTGCATTGGTAATTTTGTGCATTGTATTGAATACGAGGGTGTATGTTTTGGCCATTGCTCGGGCTTGTCCACATTGGAATCTTATTCATTGGTAACCATTTCATTGCTTTTGGAACTTCAATGCTGAAAACAGAACTTATTCATACTTCAATGACCATTTATGTAGTTTACCCATAAAATTTTGATCAAACTCGACATCACAAATTCACAATGCATTTTGTGCTCTACTTTGTCTAAAGTACCCTAAAAAAGCATGAAAATATGCTCTGACCAACAAACATTTCCCAAATTGTGTTTACAACAAATCGAACGAACCTCAACCCCAAATGCATACAACAACAATACCATGTCTGTAACGACTTATGAGGTACAAACATCGTGAATAATGATACAACAAAGATGGTAAAAGTAAAGCATAACTATCTATATATCTAGCTTAACTCAACTCAAACGTTGAACCATTTGCACCACAAAATATCCATATAAGACCCTGGAGACTTGTTTTGATATTAAGAAGTAAACATGATCATAGGCAGCAACAGATAAAGGACGATGGCTCAGGCAATGATAATTAACCGGCTTGATTTTATTCGGTTAACTGATCTGATTCATGAGAATCCTCAGATGTAACATCCGAGTCTTCATCATTGTCTTCGTCAAAACCTTCTTGTATCCTTACAGCTCTACTTGAGGTTATCTTGCTCAATGCTGCAGTCTTGCTTGCTCTTTGTGAACGAGGGCCTATAGTGCCAGGATTGGTAGGAGCCACAGACTTAGCATGGTCAGGTGAGTTTTCTTCATCAGAACTAACTTCTTCACGTCTCACTCGTCTCCTTAAACGATTTGGCCGAGTTGAGCATGGGGCTGGAGTTTGTGGAACTTCAGTTGAACCATCAAAATCCATGTTGAATTCCAGGTCTAACTTTCCTGCAAATTATTGGGAGACGATATAGTTTGATATTAATGACCAAAAACAAACCCAACCAATTGTATGCATCAAAGAAAACGAAAAACAAATGTATATTTTACATTTATTATCTGAAACACAAGAACTAAACAGAGGTAATAAATTCTCTGAGCATTCTTCATATGATCAAGCAAATTTGTATAATATATTCTAAAATTTCCATTTGACATGATTATATACTCACCGAAAATATACTTAGCTTCGTCTTCCAACAAATCCAGATCTGGATTTGTATCTAGTCCTTTAAGACGTTCAGCCATCTGCTTCAACTCCTTTAAAAGATCTTTCTCAACCAGAACACATTCACACACACTACTCAAAAGCCTCCTCATAATCTTTACTGGCCCTTGTTCTGATGAACGGAAATGGAGAGAGGCAAGTATTCTGCAAAGAGCAGCAACATATGACTTCTCTGCAGATGTCTTCTTTGCTTGGAACCTCAACACCTTGGGAAAAATATATCAATAACAAAGTCGTAAGTAGCAAATTTTTTTGTTCATAGATTAGGTATTCCTTGTAAGTAGCAATTCCTGGCTTTCAATGCAGCAACATAACACTTTGTTTTGCATCCATGGAGAAACATAAATCATCAGAATATGAGATTTGCTATGAAGTATGAAGTGAAATTTCTAAACATGTCTCTGTGTGTGTATTGGAGTGTGGGTGCGTGTAGGTCTTATAAGACGTTGAAGTCAGGTTCTGAATAATGATATCGTGAATTAAGATTTGAATTGGAAAAAACTGAAGAATTGAGTTTAAGCAATTGCAATTTTCATATTACTATTGAGTGAAGACATTATAGTCCAAATGTTCATCAGGTATTATAAAACTGCAGAATAAATTAGCAGTTGCAAAGAATTACCTCTATCGCTATGCGTATTGCAAGCCCCTCTTCACCATATTCTACTGAAGGCTGTGCCGAGCCATCTATGATTTCTGGTGATACCTTACAACCATTATCATCCTCTTGTTCAGTCTCCTTTGCATATAGGGGAGTCTGCATCATCTGTAGCATGAATCTTGAAGCTTGTATTGCACGCTTACGCATGCTGGATATCATATAAGTAGAACCACCAGAATTATCATCTATTCCAGGCCACATAGAACGCATGACAGGAATGAAAGCCTTGGACAAACACTTCTGTAGTAGCAAAATCAAATTTATTTATCATCAACAAACAAGACTTTGAATCTATAGACATTACTTCTGTGTGACAAGAGATGCATATCATCAAGGAATCAGTGCTAAATACCTTGTGATTTTCTGAGAGAGAAGCGTAATGCTCAAAGAAAACAGATAAACACTGTTTCAATCTAGTCAACAATAAAAGACAAATATGTTGTAATGGCAGCCATATTGAAAAAGAAAAGTAAAAGAGAGACAGAGGTAGAGACAGAATCATATCCACCCACCTCAGGTCCTTTGATTCATTACTGAAATATAAGCTAATCAGCTTGGATAAGAGCAAAGGATGAAATGAGGTAGGAATACTCGGATACTTCTCACTCAACAGAAGAAGAATCTTGGCAAACCCCTCTCCAAGAACAGCTTGGACTGATTCACTATCGTCATTTTCTAGAGCTTTGCCCCAATTTTTTGTCGCAAATCCAGCATATAAGAGATCAACCAATTTAATATCCAAATCTCCATCTGTGTCAGTAAAGTTTACAGGACTAGAGGGCAGAGTATCTTCTTCAATCTGTGATGAAAAATCCAGTCTCAAAGACCTATCAACTTCCTGAGGACCATGCCACATCCCAATATCAAATAAAGCCTTACAAGCAACTGAGCTAATTTGAGAGGGGCCCTTAACATAGGAGATTCTCAACTGCTTTACTAGTTCTTCACTTGGCTTATTCTCTAACAACCCAAACAGGCCTAGGCACCGGACAGATACCCTTTGCACATCCAAGTGAACATGTTTTGCCTGCAATTTATACTCCATATCAATTGTTAAATCCTTCCAAAAACAATTTTTAGATGCTTTTTTAATAGGCAATTTAAAATATCCAAAATCTGTTCAATCCCATGAAAATGGCTTGTAAATGGAATGCATATTATGTAAAACTATGTCAAGTTTAACACCTAAAGAGAAGCTGTCTATCAATAGCTACAAGTTCTGTACAAATTCTTAAGTCCCTTTGAATAGGTACTTCCTAGTAAAATCACACTTGGAAATATGAACAGAATCACAGGTTAATAGCCAAACTCTTATTTTGTCTTGCATATAAATTAAAATGTTCAAATAGAAAACCATACTTTTTAGAAGTTGAAGCTGTTAGATTTAGGGCTTAAGGATTTGATCGATTACGAATAACAAAGTGGAATTCAAATAGACAGAAAGATGAGACCAGGTACATACCCCAGGAAGCAACAAAGATTGAAGCAGTTCAGTAAGTTCAACAGTCCAATGGAATGATTTTGCATTTTCCAACAGAAGACCAGTAACAGCAAGGCAGTGCATCCATTGTATAAAGTCAGCAGTTCTCTCCCTGCAAGGACCTGCAAGCTCTTGTACAATCCCAAGAATAACTTCTTCAAATTCACCAGCAGCAGAGTGAACCTTCCTTGCCAACCTTGCCACTGCAATAGCCCAATCTCGGTTGCCACCCAGATTTATGCCATCTCCAATCACAACTTTGTTGCCTTCATCATCCACTTCATGTTCAAGAGGCTTGTGCAGTAAGTCCTGCACAAAGGAGCTAGCTATCTTCCTAATTGTAGCATCAGAAAAATCAAGCATTTCACCTAGCAATAGCAGCTGTCGAGATGCAAAGTGATAGTTCACCCCTGAAATTATGTGGTAAAAAAATTAGAAAATTAAAGTTGAATAAATTCTTTATGCATTTTCTGATCATAAAGAACCTGAGCCACCTGCATTAATATGAGCCTTGACCAAATCTATGTAATCGGAGACAGTTTCAGGAAGAATTCTATCTAACAGATCATTGTTGTCTGAGGCTTCAGCAGCATATATAGCTGCTTCAGTGCCCATTGTAGCAGCAGCATCAGAACCTTTTCCCTGTTCAACCAGGTGTTACTTTGTATATTATCATGAAAGTGCATGTATTGTCTTTAAATTAAAAAAATAATACTTAAACAAGTCATTATCATCAAAGGTCTAAGAACCAATCTGTGTTTTAAAAAGCGCGCCTGAGGCGCTTTGAGGCGCTAGGCGAGGCGAGGCGTTTAGAAAAAAGCCTCCGACCACCAAGGCGGCGGCGAGTACATGAGGCGGCGATTCAGTCGTCGGAGGCGGCGAGAGGCGACGAGGCGATACTTTTAGCGATTCACGTACAATGACCCATTTTTAAATTTTGAGTCTGGGCTCGATTTTCTTCGAACAGTCAGACCTTTTAAATTCCAATTACTTACATTAATGTATTCCTGGAACTTTGAACTGTCTCTTGACCTTCTAACGTCCAATTTTTTAATTACTGTATGTCTATAAATCATGATCCAAGCTCTCTAGTTTCTCCGATGGATACCCTGGAGCTTCTTTTCCCTCCTAAAA